ACTGTAATGAAAATAATAAATAACAGTAATTTCCCCCTGAGATTACAGAGAACACTGTGGTATTTGTAGTTTTGACACCCTTATCAATAGTTGAATGCACATGGCAGGAGTAAACTGAAACCTGTGACTGCTTGGGATTTATTACTGTATGTACAAGGGAGGCAAAGGTACAATATGCACTCACAAACATAATTGCAGTGCTTAGTATTAAATGTTTATTCAGGCTTGATGCAAGGTTAGGGGATATAAATGTAAGTCAGTATAGCAATATAATCAATATATCATATCAATATAGAATGATATTACAGTTGTGAAAGAAGCGGTGTGTTTCTTAGCATTTTGTTATAGAAGAATAATAGTGATTCTAAGTAGTGGATTATGTGCTTTTCTTGGTTAAAAGTTCTGATTCTCTGGTTGGTATGTCAGTGCAACAAAACTAAACTCTGTCTGCAGAGCTGTCTGAGTTATTGTTATGCTATTAAGGAATAAAGAACAAGAAGGAGATCAAATTTGCCAATATGGAAAGACTCTTTAATACTCTAGCCATAGTCCTGCCTTCACTGCACTTGTATAAGCCCAATGAGGCCATTGATGAGTGAAGTCACATCCAAGAATTTGATCCCTTTGTGTCCTGTCACTGTATTCCTAAGGAGTGGTCAGTGTGCAAATGTAGTTACAGAAGAACCTCAGCATTATGGACACCCTGAGAATGGATGATGTCTAAGACTCTGAAATGTTTGTAACTCTGAACAAAGCACAGTTTGGGTTCTAGATCCAGATCTGTCTCCGTGTTCCCTATAAGCTAGGTGCATAGGCAGCTACCCAGGAGAGATTCTAATGCCACCCAGCTGATTAGCAGAGTGCCATAGCAAGCAACATGTGTCTCAACGGGTGGTGCACATCCACACATACCTAGGTGCACATGACAAAATTTATTCTGCACATGGATAGAAGAAATTAGAGGGACCCCTGTCAGCTGACACTCCAGGCCAGGTATCAGAAGCAGCTAAGCTTCTAACTCAGAGCTGGCATGAGTTTGCAAGCTTGTCCCCCTCCCAGTGGTGGGTGTGGGTGTGAAAGAGAGAAAATGGTATGTCCCCTTCTCAGGGGTTGGGCAATAAGAAACAGTGCTGGCTCCTGGGTGGAGTGAAAGTGATACAGACCCTAGCTCTACTCTTTTTTTTGCTGGTTTTGGCTGCCTTGGGCTGGCAGCCCCAGCGCCTTGAAAGAGGACAGAAAGCCCACATGTGCCTACCTTGACTATGCAATACAGGCACTGTCTGGTATTTGCTGCTCATTTTTGGTCTCTGTTGCTGCCTGATTGGTTGCTTCCAGTTTCACATGGTGTCCAGTTGATCAGTCAGTCCCTATATCTGGGGTTCATATCTCTATTTTTAGAAATTGTCTTCATGGTTACTTGTAGAAGTCCAGTGTCAATGGACAGTCCAAGGAAGCAGCAGCACTTAACTTTTATCCTCCCATGGCAAGAAGATGCATTATTAAAACAAAATGATGTTACGGTTTGATTTAATCTCTTCACTGTCATATAATAAGCATAATATTCCTGGCATACTGGAAACAAGCTGCTATTATGTGACTCCAGTGCCTTGGCCATGTTTCAGGTTTTTATCGCTCTGCCATGAACAATATTCTTGAAAGAGTAACTTACAGTGAGTGTTCTGATTCATCAAAGACACCCACCGCAGCATTATTAAACAATTAGTCTCGATAGGTCATATTTTCATGGACCATTAGTTAATGCCTCAAGTGTTTTGGGAGGGATGAGGCTGCAGTAATGGCTGTATTTCAGCAGAAATAGAAAATCTATGTACTGAAATGAATGTAGCAGGTTTACCAAATCCCGTTAATTTTCTTTAAGTAGTCTTTTATAATCTCCTACAACCTGTTTTACACCAGAATGGAGGACTTGTAACTAACCAAACTCAAGCCCTGGTCCTGCAGTCCTTGCTCAAGCAACTTTCCTGTTAATGTCTTTGGAGAATTAACCTGGAGTAGAGACAGGAAGATGGGTCACTTAAAAGTAGGGGGAAAAGAAGAAGCTACAGTCGAAAAGATTTTTACCACTGACTTCAGTAAAAGCAGAAGTGGCCTACCCATTAGGTTTTGCCAGGCTGAGAGTGGTGGATTTGAATCCTTTATGAAAAGTGACAGTGTCACGGTCAGAGTAACTTCTGCTGCCTTACATGTACCGTGTTCATAATGCTCCTTTTCTGTTCACTGTCCTTCAGAGCTGTTCTGGGGGAAAAAACCAAAGCTGGCTCTAATGAATTTTTCTTGAAATATTACATTCTCCTTCTCACATACTAAAGGTTTGTTAACTTAAAGGAAGGACAGGCAATTTAAGCCTATTTTTCAAAGAGGTTGAAGCCAGGCAATCATAATAGCAGTTTGAGTTAAAATTCCATTATTCTGAAATAGTCAAAGTTCAGACTTCATTAGTTGCCCTAGACATAAAATGAACCATTCCTATCTTGAGAGATAAATGTATCATTTATTACCAAAGTCGCATAATTGCTTTAATTATTCACAGCTTTTCCCTGGATTGATTTGTCTATGGCTTTTACATTCAGAATGATAAAGTGGCGTGCAATATAAATTTCCTCCATTTGTGGTAAATTTAGCCTTAAAAACATTAATTATTTCCCCTAACCCAGAGTAGTATTTTTCTCTTTCTGTTAATTGCAAATCTAACTCCTGAGATGTCAAGACCATAGAGATCCATGTTAACAGAAGTATAGATTTTCACATTTTACTTTGAATTATTGCCTAGTATTAAAAGATACTTAATGGAAGATTGTCTGACGTTAAATTAGCTTTTGCATTTGCTGCCTCCAAAGAATAATGCTAAGATAGCTTGACAGCCATGGTACATTTAGACTGGAAAACAATTGGGTTTTTTTATTTTTGTTTTTGTTTTTGTTTTTTTTAAAGATGTGTGATTTCTCGGTGCTTGTGCATCCCAGTCAGTATTGGAGTTTCATTTCAACTATCTTATGCTCAACATCTCTTCTTTGAACTATCATGGATGGATTTTTGTCATTTATCTAGATGCCATTATGTGAAGCAGCACCAGAGACCTTCAGGTTTCAGTAGGATAGAAATAGTAATGACTTTGTTTTAATGTTTACTAGGATACACTTGTGTATTTTGCATGTACGACATGCATGATATTTGTAATGTGAGAAAATATTGCCCCATCCTGTAGTCATATCTGTATGGCTGGGGGCCCTGTGCCTATCCAGGGTGCCACTGACAGAACTAACTTAAACAACAACAAATAGTTGAGTAGCACCTTAAAAACTAACAAAACACATAGATGGTATCATGAGCTTGTGTGAGCAAAATCCACTTCTTCAGATGACCAGACTTCTACTGGGCAAAGCTGACCAGGCAGTGAATTTGATTGTATAATTGGAGTCCACATCGTAAATGTGTCAATTCAGGGAAGATTTTTGCTTTCCCACAGAGCAAAACTGTTGGGTCAATTCTTAAAGCCTTTATCGCGTTAGTAATTTCATGTATGGTTATTTGAGGAATCTATCTATGTACAATTTATTAATTTGATGTTAGGGACTCTCCTTTTCTATCTGTTTCAGTCTGCAAACTCCACCTTGGGGCTTGCTTGCCTTTTCTGCAGTCCTTTTACCTCCAAGTTGGACTGTGAGATTCCAAAGGGTGGCAACACAGAATTACACTGGAGACTTAAACCACTAAACCTTGATGGTCCCCTGTACACAAGGAAGCCCCGTTGGACAAAGAGATAGTTACTATCCAACAGAAACAGTCTGCTCAGGAGGGCTGTATGATGAGGTGTAGTCACAGAAGTCCTTTTGGGATTGTTCCCCAATGTACTGATCATACCACTGAAACCTGCCTTCTTGCTCTCTGGGGCTCCCCACTGTCCTGCTGGGCCAGATCTTCTGTTTTTCCCAGACAAGGCATGGAGTTGGGGGTAACAGCCCTCCCAAAGAGCAATGAAGACACCGAACCACTTCAGCTCTGGGAGGATGCAGTTCTAGGGCAAAGCACCCAGGAAAACAACCCTCAGAAGGGATCAACCCTCCCCGCCCTCATCCATCTTTGTGTAAGAATTTTACATGGGGGAAGCTCATGAGGATGTTCATTCTCTTTAACAATGAAAGAGAGAGATGCACATGGGTTGTTACCCCCAGGTAACAATTTATACTGGGGCTGATTAAAAAATAAAATCTTTGTATTAAGGACAAACAGTGGGATTTAAGTGGTTGTAAGTGAAAACAGATTAATGTGAGTTACTACATTAAAATGAAAAGAAAATCATAGTTCTAATTCATTAAAACATGTATTGCAAGCAGATTATTCTTACCTTAAAGAGCTGTTCCTATTTCAGGCACAGTCTTTAAGCCCTCTTAAGACAAAAGGCTGGTAGCTTTCCATTGCTTAAATAGTTTTTCCCGTAGGATGGGAATTTTTTGTTCTACATCCCCCCTTCCATGGAAAAGTACCAGGATCAAAATGGAATCCCAGTACCAGGTGGTATGGTCACATGTCTTGCTAGTCTAATCATCTTTGGACTTATAGGACAAACAAGGCTATTTACAAGTTAAGTTGATCACGAAGTCATTAAGGCTTACAGAACACCAATAATGGCTCTCATTTAGCATTTTTAAAACTATAAACAGTCTCATACATCCATATTTCCAACTTTACATACAAGAATGATACATTCACTAAAACAGGACATACAGATCCAGCAGACTGTAAAATTATAACTGATAGGTTACATAAGGTATTTTATCTAAAGCATCTTGGAGTTATGCATATTTATTTTCATAAGCCAATTTTCATAATGCATTGGGGGAACTGTCACAGGCTGATAACTAAGAAATAGACCACATTATGAAGGACTTTGATCACCTGCTGAGGTGATCCGAGGTCACTTGGCAAAGGTGACTGGAGGTTATAATAGAGAGGGTCTTTCACTGGCCATTTCAGAGAGAGATGAATTAAGACCAGACAGATGTCAGGTTTCAGAGAAGAAGCCATGGGCTCCAGTGGCTGACAAACTTGCTGGACCTCAGTGCAAGGTTGAGGGGAATTGGCTCCATGCTCTTGGAAGGGGTGGGACCTCATGTGGAAGGGGTATGTCTGAAGACAGCCAGCCCTCTGCACTGTCTGGAGTGTGCTGTGCTGCCCCTTGCCCCAGCCAGGCCTGAACTACCTGGAGCATGCCATGCAGTGCTCCAGTGGTAACATGAAGGGCCCAGAGCTCCGGCAGCCACTGCTGCTGGGGCAATGGGCCTGCATGTGCAGGATGGCAGAGAAAGAGGAAGGATCCTGGATTGCTAAGAAAATTCGGAGTCCAATCCCAATAGAGAGTCTAGACTGGTGAGGAAACTGAGATGGGGAAGTCGTATAATGTTTTATTGTTTTGTCTGGAAATGTACGTTTCTTGTGCTGTCTCAAGACTGATTGATTTGGGAAATTTTTGGGAAGTCTGTGTTATATACTTCATCTATCATGTGTCCTAGAGAAGTAAACGATAAATCATAGTGCCCACAAGGTGCCACTCTGAGGAAGGTTGTGCTAAGGGAGGTGGGGCGGGGAACAGAGTCAGTACTCATCCTGGGATAACTAGATGGTCAAGACGCATTTCTGTGAACGGTAACAGAGATCCAGTGCCCAGGGAGCTTTCCAGATAGATTAAGGGAGGAGACAGTGCTGGAGGATACCCAGACCAAGGGAACCGTATGACCATATGTGTCCACCATGTGGAACCTAAGCCCAGCAGCAGCATGCTGAGTGTCCAACAGCCTTGAAACTATTGATATCAGCTCTTAATTTGAGAAAAGACTGGTGCTTGAGGCCCTTCACTTGAATTGTTGCTGTATGATTTTTGCATAAATGATGAGTGTTTATTCTGCTGTGGATAAACATAGCGAGAGGTAAAATATAGTGAGAGGTAAATATATTTTTTGGTATATTTTAAGGCTTCTCATTTACTACAATAGTTTTATTAAGCAGGTTTGAGGAAGACAGCAGCTTAATTCAATTTCTGTAAAGAATTAGATTGCAGGAACTAGTACACAAAGTTGTCCAGGAGACTCATTATCATTTTTGTTGTTAGAAAATATGATTACCAAATGGTGTATTTGTTTCAGGATGCTTTGGGGTTTTGTATGATAGATATTTGAAATGATGTAGGAACAAAGAACACGATGGAACTAATTGTCATAAAAATGTGATGTGCAACATAAGTAAAAATAAGATGGCAATGGAAAAAGCCTATTAATACATTGCCTATATATATATGTGTGTGTGTGTGTGTGTGTGTGTGTGTGTGTATATATATATATACAGTATATATATATGTA